TCAGAGGATCTCACAGCAAAACACTGAGAAAACTTTCATTCACACTAAGACAGAAACATTCAGAAATGTACTCAGGGGCTTCACTTGCATAGTGCCTTATGGGTAATAGCTTAAATTCTATATTAAAATCTAAACTCAGCTAAAGCAGGATTAGAATGAATCACAATATTCTCAGAGTTTAGACTAAAAAACATTTATTATCAGAACTGTCAAAAGACACACAAGGGGATATTTCTTGATTTGAAAAAGCATGACTGCACAACTTCTTTACATTTGGTGATTTGTACAAATCAAGTGATGAAGTAGGACTGGGACTCATTTCAGAATATTTATGGGGTCACTGTCAGTGTTACTTCTGAATGTTAGTGGATTTAAGTAAAAGGTTTTGTGCTATTTTTCAAACGTCTGGAAAACTTTCCACTGCAACATTTCAGGGGACATAGAGTACAGAATGTGTTACATAAACATACCATACTTGAAGAAATATCCCTGGAGATGCCTAAGTGTTTCCTGTTTGTAACAGTCAAATAACCTCATCAGATTAATTTAGCTACTAAAATGACATATCTTAGTACAAATTAGTCTCTTTGTTTACCCGGTAATTTAAATCTAATGGTTCTAATGGCGTCTTGTTCCAGGCAATCAGATGGTGAGTATTTTCTGCTTTTATTAACCTCTAACCCTAACTCTATAGCCTGACAGTTCTCTCACAGATTTTAAACTCAAACAAGCTGAAGTCACTGGAGCTTTTACCTTAAAGTGTCTGATTCTGGGAGCTCTGCAGTTATGAAACACAGGATATTGAGGATGGGAGTCAGTACAAAGAAAAATGTGAGTTAAGAAAGTGTTTTTATAAAGAAGGAGAAATGCGAAAAAGCATGACTGCACAACTTCTTTACATTTGGTGATTTGTACTAATGATGTGATGAAGTAGGCCTGGGACTCATTCTATGGTCTCACTGGCAGTGTTACTTCTGAATGTTAGTGGATTTAAGTAAAAGGTTTTGTGCAATTTTTTAAACGTCTGAAAAAACTTTCCACCGCGACATTTCAGGGGACATAGAGTACAGAATGTGTTACATAAACATACCATACTTGGAGAAGTATCCCTAAAGATGCCTAAGTGTTTCCTGTTTGTAACAGTCAAATTACCTCATCAGAAATGTGCTGGTTGCTTTCTCTTTGTGAGAGTTTGGAAGGTGAAGAGGCCAGGATGGGGTGGGAGTCGTCTGACTCATCCATCCTCTGCTCTACAGCACTCCACAGGGAGTTGACATCTGAGCTCACAGACAGACAGACTAAACCTATACTTCCTCACAAACATATCTGTCACCATGATCTGTTTCTCATTAATGCTCAAAAAATGCTTTTGAGATATGGGATTTTTTCATTCTTAAAAGGCCTTGTGTCTCAGTCAGGCGTTAATATGTTCAGTGTAAAAAACATTGTAGGCTTTATGTTTAGCTTGTGCTCTACTTTTGATATGTGGTACAGCAGCTGGGGAGGTCATTGTAGAATGTAGACCTCAGTATCTTGTCTGTTATGGTTCAAATCGAAGCAGACAGAAACTGGCACACACATTGAGAATTCATGTGTGTGCCAGTTTCTGTCTGCTGGAAAGATCAAAGTGCAAAAAACAGTAATTGAAGGTGTTGTTGCTCTTTGATGCACAGATATGAGAGTGCTGTCAGTCTCCTCATCTAACTCTAAAATGTCAAACTATATTTCTGAAAC